CTTCCGAAAAGCTATTAAGACCTGGCTATTCCGGCAGGCCTGGGGCTGTTGACCTCTGGATTGAGGTCCAGCCCCACTTAGACTGGGTGCATGTTGTGTCATTTTTAATCTGCTGTGTTTTATTTGCTTTTAATCTTTCTTAATATTCTTATTTCTGTAAGTCGCCCGGAGTCCTCCGGGATTGGGCGGCCTATAAATTTAATAAATAGAAATGGAAAAAGCAAGACATAGCCACAAACATCATAACATTCCTTTTCCATTAACAAATGCTAGCTATTTCATCTGTTCGCCTTACATTATATGTATTTTGTGTTTTTTTTTTGCTTGCTCACTTTCAAAAGATATTTGCTGTTTGCCTTGGGAAGAGGGAAGATACTGTTTGGGCAATGCAAGTCTGCAATTTTGTGTGTGTGTGTGTGTGTCTTCGTTGCCAATAATAATCTGAAGTGGGTTACTAAAATGGAAGTATCTGCCTTATTGTCATCAATCACATGATCTTCCATAGAACATGCATCTTGTTGCTAATGTATTTTTCTGCCATTCTCAGCTAACAAAGAAACACAGGATCGTTTGGCTGAGATGGAGCAAACGAAGGCTACAGTTGAAAAAGAACTGAAGGAGAAGATTAGCAAGTTGGAGAAAGAGTTGGACAATGCAAATGATCTCGTTTCGGCTACCAAGCGAAAAGGTCCGGTAACTTCTAGGGAACGGACAGTTTAAAATTTGGGGCACTCAACATTACCATTAACGGATTAGCTGATTTCATTGTAGCATAAATGATTGTAGTACTAAAAATGAAATAACAAAAAAATGCTTTGAAAAACAAATTACTGTCCTTGGTGTGAATTTTTTTAAAATTATTGTCTTCCCCAAAAATCATGAGCTTGCTATAACAGGAACATTTTTGAGCAATGTTTTTGTTTTTAATATATAAACTAATAATCTCAGAGCCGAGGTGGCGCAGTGGTTAAATGCAGCACTGCAGGCCACTTCAGCTGACTGCAGTTCTGCAGTTCAGCTGTTCAAATCTCACCG